GAATAAACAGAAACAGCTCCTCTGAAGTTACCTAACATTAAACTGCTTTTGAGAACTTTGAGAAAACTTTCAAGGAAGAAATGAAAACTTGTTTATGCCTGAACGGGAATTTATTCTGTTAAGTTGACTGTATAGTCAGCAGCCATCTCAACATGTAGAATTGTGACAACTGGCTTCTTGGTTTTGAAGGGTTCAAAGTGCTTCTTTCCACACAGGCAAGGATTTTCCATGTGAGGACGAACAAGTCCGTCTGGTAGCTTTTCTTGGTTTTGGTTACAAGGTGGTGATAACTTCTCTCTTGTGGACAGGCTTTCCTCTTCAGAAATGCTGCCTCCATTTGGCTTTTAGTTGGGTCCTTGTGAGGTGGGTCAGCCCAATAGATATTATTGTCCCCATTTCAGAGACTGAGAGAGAACATGACGGCCTGAAGGCATCTGGCTCAGTGCCATGAGCTGGGACTGCAGCCAAGGCTCCACTGATGAGAGGGTTCTGTAAGAGCCATTTAGTTGGCCTTTAACTCAATTAGTCCCAGAAACGTTGTTTTGGGGCCTGTACTTATGTCCTTGATCTCATCAAGTGGAAGTTGTGGTTCTGCCCAAGACGGTCTTGTTGCTCACTCAAGGTAAGGACATGGATCACTGCCTCTTTTGAGGCCTCTTTCGATTATTTTATTCTATTTATTTATGCATACATTTAAAATTAAATAAGTTCTGTGGCTTTGGAATCTTGTAGACTTGGGATCTGCTAATTACTCAGTGAGTGACTTTGTAAGATCACTTAACATGCCTCATACTTGGTTCCTTCGTCTATAAAATGGGGTTGCTGTGAAGATTACATATGGTAAAGGACACAAACCATTTAGCATTATGCTTGAGCACCCCAAGCTATTATCCAAACTATGGCTAGTTGTCTCAGTTCTATCTTCAAAACATTGTGTATCTAGAATTTCACCACTTTAACCACTTCTCACCTACCACTGCTGTCAAAGCCACCATTGTCCCTTATGTATATATTTATAGTGATGGCCCTACCCAAGGTCTGTTCCCACCCATTCCCTTCCTGCAGTTTATTGCCTAGGGGCCAGAGTGAGTCTTTTATTTTATTTTTTAAATTATTATTATTTTTTTTTGTGGTACGCGGGCCTCTCACTGTTGTGGCCTCTCCCGTTGAGGAGCACAGGCTCCGGATGCACAGGCTCAGCGACCATGGCTCACGGGCCCAGCCACTCCACGGCATGTGGGATCTTCCCGGACCGGGGCACGAACCCGTGTCTCCTGCATCGGCAGGCGGACTCTCAACCACTGTGCCACCAGGGAAGCCCCCAGAGTAGTCCCCAGAGTGGGTCTTTTAAAATGAAAGTTGGATCACAGAGAAACTCTACTCAAGCTCCCCAGTGACTTCCCATCCCAACCAAGCCCAAAGTCCTCACTGTTGACCACAGAGTCCTCCGTGATATGGCCCTTAGCATCTCTCAACAGCTTCTCCTCCCACTCCCCTCTTGCTCTCTGTTCCAACTGTTTTGTCTTTCTTGCTCTTCCTCAAGCTGAGCATGTCCCTGTCTCAGCCTCTTTGCGCTTAACGCTCCCTTTTCCTGGAAAAATTTGCCCTTAGATTCACTACTTGGTACCCTCCCTCACTTCCTTGAGTTCCTACTCAAATATGACCTTATCTGTCACCTTCCCAGCCTCTTGTATATCAATGTGTGATGCATATATTAATTTCATATTCATTCAAGCAATAGATGCTCTATAAATATTTAAGATGCTTGGTAAATTGTCATGAAGGAATAGCTAACCTTTACTGAAGTCTTGCTATGTGCCCTGAATTTTGCTTTCCTTTGCAGGTGGCAATCTATCTTCTTGGTGTATTCTGTCACCTGTTAGAGATCTTAGCTCAGATGATGTCTCCAACAAATCTTCCTTGATCAGTCAAGCCAGAAGTGATTCTTCACTCTTCTGTATTCCCTTAGTGATCACTTGGTACCATTCACTGTCCCCTGGTGTTGTAGAGTTTTTTTATAAGTATCTTTTCTTAAATGTAACAAGACATTTGATGGCAAGGACCATATCTAGTGCAATTTTATGTAATGCACAATTTGTAGGGCAGCCTCTCAATTTATAATCCACTTCAGATATTTACGAAAAGTTTCATATGCTCTCACCGGTTCTACAAATGAATTCACATTGATGGATAAGTGTTATTTGGGACTGTAGATTTCAGAATCCAAAATCTCAGAGTTAGTATGTCCAAGGCAAAATTAGGTAGAAGAGAAAAATGAAAACATAAAGCTACAAAAGGCCATTAAATGTATCATTAAAGACTATATGAACATAAGGTTGAATTGTGTTATCTCCATGGGTCCATGGCTCCTTGTGAAAAAATCTGACAAACGACATATTTATAGAGTTTTGGTAAGAAGCAATGATCATTTCTTCTCAATTTGCTATAGTAATCATTTATCTCTTTACTTATCTTCTCTGTGCTTTCATTTATGACATCCTAGAAAAACTAGTAACAAAATATTTTTCCTATGCTGCAGAGAAGCCTTCTGGATGTAACAGTTTCTTTTCTCGGCTATCAGAGTAGCTGTATATTGAGGTAATTTTTAATGGTTGTGGTATTTTCAGTGTGACTCTCTAGTGTGGAAAAGCCTCGGGCACTGAGTGAAGTCGTTTTTCACTTAATCCTTAAAACAGCCCTGTGAGGTAGGTATTAGTGAGTCATATCGCATCACCCTCATGCTTAAAAACCCTCCAGGGCTTCCGTGGTGGCGCAGTGGTTCAGAGTTCGCCTGCCGATGCAGGGAACACGGGTTCGTGCCCCGGTCCGGGAAGATCCCACATGCCGCAGAGCGGCTGGGCCCGTGAGCCATGGCCACTGAGCCTGCGTGTCCGGAACCTGTGCTCCGCAATGGGAGAGGCCACAACAGTGAGAGGACCGCATACCGCAAAAAACCCCCAAAACCCCCCCAAAAAACCCCTCCACATGGCTCCCCATTTCACTTACAGGAGACCCAAGCTCTTACTATGGCTATAGGAGCCATCCCACAAGGACCCTGCTCACTTCTTCCCTTCCATCTCTTTCCAGCTCTACCCACCTTTCTCCACACTATTTGGAGCGGTTCCGCCTGTCCTTGAACATGCCCAGCCAAGCTGCTTCCTGCCTTGGGGCCTTTGTACCTGCTGTTCCTTCTGCCTGGAATGCTGTAATCAGATCCTTCAATGGCTGTTTTGTCCTCATTAAGTCTCAACTTAAATTTTAGCTCCGCAGAGAGACTCTCCCATACACATAATGTTAAAAAAAAAAAAAACCCAAAAAACCTTCTGTATGGGGTTGTCAGATATAGCAAATAAAAATACAAAACACTCAGTAAAATCTGAATTTCAGATAAACAACAAAGAGTATTTTGGTACGTCTTGTGCAATGTTTGGGACATACATATACTCAAACATTATTCATTCCTTGTTTATTTGAAACTCAAATTTAATTGGCTGTCCTGCAATCTACCTGGCAACCCCACCTCCACAGCAGCTCTGTGTGATCTCCTGTTTTATTTTCTCCGTGGGACATTTCACCATTAGAAATTCTGTTTGATTCTCCCACTGGAACATGGGCTCCATGAGGGTGGGGCCCCCCCCGCCTTGCTCACAGCTGCATCCTCAGAGCCTATCATATGGCCCGACACAAATAAATGATTACACATAGTAGGTGCTCAATAAATATTTGTTAAGTATTTGTTATAAAGGAAAAATAGAATAAAAAGCTTAAAGAGGTTGGTAACATATCCAGGGCATACTGCCAGCTGGATGAGATTGGAATTAGACAATACGGTGCCAAAGCTCTTGTGAGTTTTCCACATTTTGAGGTGTGGAAGGCAGTGGAGTTGAGAAGGGGCATTGTGTCACCTGCCATTCAAGAGGCTCTCAGTAGAATCAGAAGACCCTGGGAGCAGTAGATTTCGGGAGAAACAAAGTCTAAATGAGCCCTTCCCATTTGCTTTGCACGTAACCAAAGGAAAATGCACTTGAGTGAAAAGAACAAGGTACTCTGCGTTTGGAACGGGGTCAGAGGCAGTGCGCATCCTCCATGTCTTCGGACACGGTCAACTCCCTGCAACTTGAGGGCTGGCTTTATTGTCAGACTCCGGAAACCTCTAGACCCGGATCACAAGAGAAACTAACGGCACAAGCAAAGAGCGGGGAGGGGCGGATCAGGATGAAGTCAAGACAGAAGAAATCGAACTCTGGTCTTGGGCCCAGGCCGGGCAGCGGGGCGGGGGCAGCGGCGTTCAGCCTCAGAACTCGGTCAGCTTCACCTCTTGGTGTGGACACTGGGCGCTTCGCAGGACCCACTGAAGGCGCATAATCTCCACTCGAGCTCACTTCGTCGGACCTAGGATGATTGCCGGAGGGCGAGTCTAGCGGCCGGCCCGGAGCTAGCTGCGTGGGTAACAGTGGTCGGATCCTGGGGCGCAGCCTGGCTCTGGTCCCTGACCAGCTCCACCCGGCTCTCACCAGCGCGTCCTCCCACCCAGGAGCTGGAGGATGGTCCCGGGGCGCGCCGAGTGTCTTCAGCCCGATCCTCCCTGTTGTGTGAGTCGCACGCGCGCCCAGTTCGGAGGCAGCCACCCTCGCCGCCGCTGACAGGTGCTGCCCGGAGGGCGTCGGGTGCGGTCCCAGGCGCAGCTGGAAACGCACGCCCGGTGCGTGTAGCGTCCCGAGCCCGGAGCCAGAGAGGAGAAGGGGCCAGGGCGCGGCCTGGGGGACTCCAGTGGACTGGAGCCGCGGAGCGCGGAGCTAGAAACTTTGCGGCGGCCGAGATTTGGCTACAGCGCCAGCCCACCCCCGCGGGTGCGGGAGGAAGAGGCAGCGCCGGAGTCCCGCGGCCGGAGAGCCTCGGCGGCGGCGGCGTCTTTTCCCCGCTCTGGCCTGAAGCCGGCGGTCACTCCCGGCTTCTGCTGCTTCGTCCGCCGTCGTCGCTGCCACCGCGGGGCTCCGGGAGAAGGCGCAGCCAGAGCGGACGGAGAAGAAGGAGGAGGGGAGCGGAGGAGCAGGGGGTGGAGGATGGAGCCCCCGGCTGCCGCGGCGGGCTCGCCCGAGCCTGCGGCGGCGTCCTCTTCCTTCCAGGCCCGGCTCTGGAAGAACCTGCAGCTAGGGGTGGGCAAGAGCAAGGGCGGCTGGGGCGGGCGCGCGGGGGTCCCCGAGCGCCGCACTGCGGACACCGCGTCGCCCTCCCCGCCACCCCCGGGGGGTAGGCAGGACGCACTGGCCGGCTTGGGTGGCGCGGGCAGCAGGTGGAGCGGCTTCAAGAAACGGAAGCAAGTGCTGGACCGCGTCTTTTCCTCCTCCCAGCCCAACCTGTGCTGCTCCTCGCCGGAGCCTCTCGAGCCCGAGGGTGCGAGCAGAGCGGAGCAGGGGTCCACGCTGCGCCGCCGGATCCGCGAGCATTTGCTTCCCGCGGGCAGGGGCCCGGTGGCAGCCGCCGGAGCAGCCGGAGTGACGCCTCCTGGCGGACGCTCTCCGGACTCAGCCTGCTCTTCGTCCTCTGCCTCATCCTCCCTGTCCTCCTCACCCCAGCCGCCCCCGAGGGGGGACCGCGCCCGAGATGAGGGTGCACGGCGTCGGGGCACCGCGGCGCACTTGTGCCATCAGAAGAGTTCCTCCCTGCCGGGCACCGCCTGCTTGGAGCAGCTGCTGGAGCCGCCGCCGCCGCCTCGAGCTGAGCCAGCACGGAGCCGAGCAGAGCCGCGAACCGCGAAGGGCGAGGCGCGCGGCAGCAGCCGGGTGAGTGACAGGTGGGCGCGGCCCGAGCCTAGGTGCGCGGGGCCACGCCTCCAGCTGTGGGCGATCGAGACCCCGGGAGTTGCTGGCGGGGTAGGGGTGCTACCAAGTTCAAGCAGTGGAAAGAAAACGTCCCGCTCCTGCTTAGTAGAGTACTGGCTTGCGCTCCGACTTTACTTTTGACAGAAATAATACCTACTGCTAGAAGCTGTTTGAGTAGCTTTCCCAGTTGCCGATGAAAGTGGAAGTATTAATTGTAGCCAAACAGGAGAGGAATAATTTTAGACACAAAATGGGTACTTTTTGGAGATCTCCTAAAAGGACTGTCCAGCTAAGTCTCATCTTGTCAAAAGAAATGCGAGGAGGTGAATTAATGGCAAACGTGAGGTCATGTCTTGGGGAAACCCTTTAGGCAGAAGTCTGTTCATCTTCCAGCCCTCCCTTCTCAAAACTTTCTGCTGCGAGTGGAACGCTGCTTAACAAATAGCGTGAGTGTCGCTTCCGAGTTAAACCGATGTTCCTATGGCCTTTTTTGTTTTGATAGTCATCTGAAGTAGTTGCGTTTAAATTATTCTGCTGTAGACGTGATGTTTATTGGCTAATTTATTAGTGTAATTTCAGAAAGTAAACCAGAATACTAGTATGTGTTGTTGTTTAATAAACACAATTGCTGGCAGTAACCTGATGTTACTAATGCTCTAGAAAACACCTGATGGTTTAGTAAAAGGTTACAGTTATTCTCAGAAGCGTAGGCAGAAATAATACTGACAAAAAGCCTAAATAAACCTATCTTTCCTTTTATCTTGAAAGAGAATTGACTAGAACTCCTGTTTCTGGTTCCAAAATGAGGTAAAAAGTGGTTTTAAAAAGATTGTTTAAATTCAGTGTAGATGAATACTATATATTTTAAAAATATTTATATTTGAATGTGTACCTAATCCTAATGTATAAGAATTTTAGAGCTGGGGTACTTGCTTACATTTGTTTTTATTAACTTTTATGATCAAGAATGATAAAAAATAAGAATTGAATTAGTTTGGAAGGCAGAGATCATATTGCTGCAAATGTTAACTTACTAAATAACTTTGCAGTTCACTGAACCAAGATATTTTCACAGTGAAAGCAGAGAATTCAGAATTAATCTTTATATTCATTTTTACCCAAACGTTTTCAGACACTATCAATCTTTATTTGAAACACTGCTATGTAAATATAAATTTTGTATACAAAAGACCAAAAATCCTTTTTTGAGAGGATACTAAACAAACATTATTGTGTGTGCCTCCACCATATGTTGGGCACTTCCATGATTTAATCCTCATAGCTTCCCTACATGATAGAAGTTCTTGTTGCTATTTTATGCATTCGGAAATCAATGCTCAGAGAAATTAAATAATCTTTCCAAGGTCACATGGTTAATATATGACAGAGAGAGTTTTTGTCATTCTCCACAATGTTTTTCCATCACTACAGCTACGTTTGACAACTTTTAGAACTTTTTATGTCTCTGAGATAACTTCAGTCCTATTGATTAATACTTGCAAGTTTACATACATTCTGGATTCCTAGAATCAGTTCTGTGATGGATTAGCTGAATTAATTTGTTCTTTGTTCTCTGTAATGCATTGTTGCATATCTTTTATATCACATTTACAAATGACATTATTGATCATACTGTCTGTAGTTCTAAAGAAGCTTCTCATTATAAAGAACCAGCATTTCAATGAAGTCATAGGAGGAATACAAAAGCTAAAATATCTTTCCAAGAGTAGGTGAAAAGTGGAGTGTAGGCAGGAAAATAAGCCCTGATGCTTTATTGTTGATTCCCTGCATCTGCTGCTCAGGAAGCCTTGTGCTCTGAGAAGTGGACCGTTTTCTCCGTTACGAGTCACAAATCCAGTTTTCAGCAGCTCTCTGTCACTAATGCACAACAGAGGATTCCTCAGTCCTCTAAATGCCTCTTTGCCCAACTCAAGGAGTCTGGCTCACCTCTCTGAATGGAGAGAAGAAAGAAATGGAGTTGGAATCTGGAACTGGAAGAGGACTCTCTAAGGTGTCCAGGAGTAGGTGTAACTCGGCAGCACCCTTCCGAGCTTCCTGCATGTCTCAGAGATCTTTCCTTGCTCTCCTAACACCTCATTGCTGAAGATACTTGGGCATGGGGAGGAAGCTCGTAGCACATGCAGATTTCAGTTTTATTCACAGTTCATAAGCACAGATGGGAACACATAAAAAGAAAAGATGCTAAAAACATTAAATCCATCTTCAGATCGCCTAGATAAAAAGCACTTTCTCTCAAGGAAGAAAGAAAATTCGTTGCAAAATGAGGCAAATTGCTCACATTTTCTCTTGTTCTCTGCTTGATCCTGGCATCAGCCATGTTCTCCAACACACTCCCCACCTCTCCACTGAGGTGGACACTGACACTGAGTGGAGATATTAAGCAAAACCAAAAAAATCATTTTGGACTGCTAGGGAAAGAGATTTGGAAGTCACTGATGTATAATAATTACAACTAAACAAACCATTCTACCTCCTATGCCCCTGTCAGCCCTCTTGCTATTATGTTTTCTTTAGCCAAATATACCTTTGAATGACAGTTTAATAGACTTAATAATGCCTTGCTGTTGGGCCATGTGCATTATTTAAAATGTTCTGCTTTGAAAAAAAAAAGAAACCCCGTTCTTCCCACTGATTCTAGTTCACGTGCTGGGCCATATTGTCATACCAGATGCATTTCATTTTCTGCAACGCAGTTGGGAAAGATGCATTCTCAATTTGTGTGCATATCAAAAATGTGCCAATTTTATGTATTCTATCTTGATGAGTTACTAAAATTATACTTTGCTAGAATCAGAAATTCCGTTAAGATAAAGAGTTAGGAATGAATATGTTGCATTTTTTAAGTGTTTTAACAAAAGTGTGTAGTGTTTATGAATGTTAAACCTTTGTTGTTTTTTTTCAAATTCATTTTGTTAAAATTGCTGTCATCGAGGAGCAAAAATGATTTTGAAAAAAAGTGGATAAAATATTCAGGGTATGATAGGAATATCCATTCATTGGGATAAAATTCCTAAAACACATATGAAAGCCCCAACAAAAAGTGGAAGATATTTTCTAAGAGTAAGTCTAGACATGAAGTAAATATTGCTTTATTAATTATCTGATCTTTTAAAGAAAGCCTGTATTTTCAAAAACTATTAAAAATGTGATTTGGGTAATTTTTGCTATTTATTTTTCAGGTGTCTTTAATCTTACTTCAAAAAACCTAACTTAGTCTTGGGGAAGGCACAAGTTTTAAAAATATTCCTAATGTAAATCATTAAAACCACTAAAATTCCCCCAGTAATCTAAAAAATAAGCTCCTAAAAGGAGTGTTAGTAGCTTTTTCAAAGCTTTTGCAAGTGAGGGTGAGATCTTAGAACATTTTGGAGCAGCGTGTAAAGTTTGATGTGTGATTGCATTCTTGAGAAACATTGGGACATCAGGTTGTTCCAGAGAAAGGGCATAAACAGAGTGATAGGTTTACTTTGGAGTGGAATTGTTTCCAGTAACTTTTAATTACTATCAGGTGTATCTGGTGGATCTGAGTAGAGCTGTGGATACCGTATAAATGCAACTGTTATGAGGTAGATGTTTGAAATTGGCTTAAAACCTGTCTCAGTAGGCACTAGCAATTGTATGCTGTTATTATTTTTGAAAGGTATATTAAAGTTTTGCCACTGCCACCGTTACAAGTAAGTGGGTGTTGAAAACAATTAACAGGGGCTTTGACGGTCCTTTTCATTGAAGATGTACATTATTTTCCTTGCAGTGGTGGCAAAAGTAGCCTAAAATTAACCCAGGCAGTACTGGTGACATCACAGCTTCACACAGTAATGAAAAAATCTTATATAACTTTTGGAAAATATGTGCACATTATCATAAAAATGTGAATACATACTTGGAGGAATAAAATAAATTTAACAGATTCATAAAGAAAGTAGGACAAATATTCCCCCTTTTTTTCTGTTGCCCCATTGTTCGGAAATATGGGATGATTTCACAAGATTAAAGGTTAATAATATGTCTTTGGCATCACAAGGAAACATGTAGTATGATTTCTTTGCTCATAAGGATTATCAAAACGTTTGCCAACTCTAGACTGATGAAGAGTATCTATGTGTAGATAACATTATAAGCATTGAGAAAATCTGCAGATTCAGAAGTTAGGGTAATGCATTTTTTAGTTAAATCATCGTTACTTACAGTATCGTAGCAGACATCTATTTTAGATAAGCAGAAATTAATTTTTTGAAATCTGAAATTTTTTGCTTTGAATTTTTTATTTTTCTGGAAAACTTACTAAAAACTATATATTTCCCTGCCTCAACAAACCAAGCATCCTAAATAAAACCTTTCCTTGATATCTGAGAGCCATTTTTGTGAATACTGGCTTTTGGGGCGGGGGGTTGTTTTATGTGAATGAAACAGATATTGTCTTAACTTTTAGGTAAGCTTGCTTGTTTTCATAAAATTACAGTATAACGCATACCTATTTATGATAAGCTTATCTTCCTATAAAGTTAATTATTCAAAGGTGTGAGGCACTCTTCCTCAAGTCCTTTTTTTCACTTGCCAAATAATCTATACTGTCTTTATTTGTGAATTTTGATTTGTCGCTACCATTGAAAATATCATTTTTTTTCCCTGCATGGTGAACTTTATGTGCTATCTTGATTTCTTTGTCGTTGTCAACCTTTTCTTCTAATTTACATTGCTTTTTATAAATCACGTGTGGAAAGTGATTACTGTACCTCAACAATTCAGGATTGTATGCAAATATATTTCCCCCCTCCAATGTATACCCGTTTCTTATCATTAGAAAGTTTTTTCAGCAGAATAGCAGGCCACAATTTCCCCAGTGTCCCAAGTACTCCTATTTAATATTAGTCTGAGTGCAAGCAACATGAAAACTGCATTTTCAATATAATGAGATTTTAAAGTCCTGCATACTACCTTCT